CTTTCGCCACTCTTTCGGCCATCCCCGCCCCAACTAAACGGGGGTTGAGGAGCAGGGCCATGCCAGGTGCACTTTTGGCCGCCAGGGTCAACCAGCCCCAACTAAACATGGTTGCGTGTTCTCGATTGGAATCAGAGACAAACCCCAAAAGGCGAGGAAACACCTCTATAAAGCGGGAAAGGCCCAATCTCCGACGGGTGCCTGGAAATCGGATGCAGATCGTTTTGAGGGTGTGTAACAAGCTCTTTCTCAAAAAATCACGTTTCCTCTGTTTGCCCTTGCTTTGTGCTTTGATGCATTCGTAAACCTCTTCAACGCAAACAACCAACGCCTCCACCTCCAACTGGGCATGGGTCAAAGTCGGGATTAGGACCCCCTGTTTTACGTGGGCTTCCGGTGGGTTGCCGTTTAAACCCCATCCAAAAAGGGTACCGAGCCCCAATTCTTACGCGGCTACCCTGACACTTCAATCATGATACGGCCCAGTCTGTTTGATGGTGGTACTTGCCCCTCTTTCTGGCGTGTTGAAACTGAACAAATAAAACCCCTCGCCGCCAGTTTTCGGGGAGCTCCAACCTCCAAAAAGACGGGAGACGCCCCCATTTTGCGACCGAGAACTCCACCGGCTCCCGGCGGCCCCCGCCTGAGGTCCTTGGGGGGCCCCCGGCGCAGCGACAGCGCCTTCACCTGAGTCACAATCAAAGCTCGGTACAAAAAAGCGTCGACCCAAAACCATGTAAAGAACTAAGAAGGCGGATATCCGCAGCTATTTATGGCTGGGATCGTCCCTTACTAACCTGGCCATGGGTCAAAATCCAAATCGTACCCCCAGTGAACATCCCAATCCCTGCTCAAATAGGTTCTAAAATGGGTTTCCTACCAACCAAAATGGGATCCCAAAACGGTTTTCACAACCACAGCCACCTTCACTTACCCAGGTTTTGATTGTGCCCCACCTGGCGCTGCTCCGCCGCGCCGTGCGCCTGCAGCTCCAGCAGCGCGCTGCGGATCTCCGCCTGCAGCTGCCGGTTCCTCGGGATCGAGGAACCGCTCGCTGAAAAGCGCTTTCTGGCTGCTCGAGCTGAGTTGGGGTGGGTTTGTTTTTCAAGTCAGATGGGAGGTTTCCTTAAAACCACCGGCTTAAAGAGTTGGGCTGCTTCCTTAAAACAACCACAGAAAACAAGGGCGTCCAAAAACCAGAATGATTCGAACTTCTAAGTGGGTGAAAGCTTCGGCTGCGAACAACTTGCTAACTTGGCCAAACGGGCAAGCTGCGTTGGGGTTTGAGGAAATGATTCACACCAGGTGAAGCAAAGTAGTCATGGTGCAGGATTCTCCACCATCCCCTGAATGGACCCTTCATTGTAGGGAAGCCAAAAGGAAACCAACATCCGGTTTGGGGGGGGTCCAATTTTTAGAGCCCGTTTTAAACCCTCTGGTGCGGGACCCCGAGAGGAGATAGCAAACCTAGGGAATCAATCAAACGCTCTCATTTCTTGGTTCTGAGGAGAGAGTTTCAAGGGTTTTGGAAGGGAATCCCCTATCGGAAACCCCACAATTGCGGTGCAGGTCTGTCTACTAACATGGAACCTGACATTTCGGTGTCTTGGAAGACGAATTGTCTTTAAAAGGGACCCTCTGGTGGGTTCCAGGTTAGTGCAGAGGAGGGTAAACCTCATTTACGAAACCTTGGATTGGTTTGGATTGCATTGGATTTGAACTCGCACGCAGCTTGACTCCAAAGGGCCATCCAGCAACCAAGGATATATCAGCTTGTCCTGGTTTTGTTGGTTTGGATTTCTGGTTGGGAGGTTCAGGGGGGGTGACACACTAGAACCATGCAAAGGTCCACACGAACTCAACCCCCAAATTCAGGGTTGGCTGGCACATGGTAACCTCCAACATTGAAAGAGTGCTTCGAAGCACAAGCAGGCTTCCCGAAATACGGGATCTCCTTTTGGATTGGTCAAAGTGAAACGAAATGTTCTTATTTTAGCAAGCGCACACACACACAGACGCATTGCCTTTGAATGACTTGAGCTGGGACGATAATTGCACGGCATGTCTAGTCTCTCAAGGTCTGCCAAAGAGTTGAAATGGCCCTCCTTTGCTCTCCAGCGCGTTTTCTGGCAGGAAGTGACGTCCACGCTTGGCTCAATGAGGTGGGGTTTGCATGGCGTAGCCAAAAAGAATGTTTCCAAAACAGAGAAGAAAGCAATGTTTCCTGGGAGTGCAAGAAAGAGAGAAAGAGAGCTGAAAGAGAAAAAGAAAGAAACAAAAAAAGAAATAAAGAAAGAAAGAAAGAAAGAAAGAGAGAAAACAAGAAGCGAAAAGAGGGAAAAACAGAGAGAGAGAGAAAAAAAACATATATAAAAAGAAAGAGAGATAGAGAGAGGGAGAGAGACAAAGAGAAAAAGAGAGACAGAGAGAGATAGAGAGATAGAGAGATAGAGGGATAGAGATAGAAAGAGAAAGGGAGATAGAGAGATAGAGAAATAGAGAGAGAGAGAGAGCGAGATAGCCAGATATAGAGATAGAGAGATAGAGAGGAGATAAAGATAGGAAGATAGAGAGATAGGGAGAGATAGAGAGATAGAGAGATAGAGAGACAGAGAGATAGCGCGATAAAGAGATAGAGAGAGATAAAGAGATAGAGGGATAGAGGGATAGAGAGATAGAGAGATAAATAGATAGAGATAGAGGGATACAGAGATAGAGAGATAAATAGATAGAGATAGAGAGATAGAGAGATAGGGAGATAGGGAGATGAAGTGAAAGAGAGATAGAGGGAAAGAAAGAAAGAAAGAAAGAAAGAAAGAAAGGGAGAAACAGACGGCAAGAAAGAGAGAAAGAGAGAGAAAGAGAAAGAGAGAGAGAGGGAAGAAAAAAAGAGAGATGCTTACCCTCGAACCTGACAGCAAAACAACCGCGCGGAAAAGTCAGCCTGGCAACCTATGTGTCCATTTGGCTTCTGCACAGTCCAACCAAGAACGCTCTCCACTCCACTTGACGAAGGTAGACTTATACCGGGAATTGTGATTGTTTTTCTTCAAAGTCGGCCAGCAGGTTTTCGTGTCAACGGTTGAAGTCAAACCCTTGCAGTCAAAAAGGTGGAACCCAAAGCTTCCAGCCGGCCAAGCAGGGTTTTCGTGTCCCCCAAACCAGACGCAACGTCTCTGCGTCCGAGAGGCTGGGCCAAGGCCGCGGCATCCTCCGCATCCTGCGCGCAGGTCTCACCTTCCGAGGCGCTCTCCGAGTCGTGGCCGGCCACCAGCTCCATGGCGGTGCGTCGCGGAGGCGCCGAGCGATGGCGGTTGACAAGAAGACATCGACGAATGTGGCCGGTTCAACAAATGCACCAAGAAAAAATGCACGGAGGGTGATGGTGATCTTGCAGCTCTTGCCGGTGGGCCCTTGGGCGCTGCTGGTTGTGCTACTGCTGTTTGTGCTGTTTGTGCTGTTGGTGCTGTTGGTGCTGTTGGTAGTGGTGGTGCTGTTGCTGGTGGTGCTGGTGGTGCTGGTGGTGCTGGTGCTGCTGGTGCTGCTGGTGCTGCTGGTGCTGGTGGTGCTGCTGGTGCGGGTGGTGCTGCTGGTGCTGATGTTGCTGGTAGCGCTGATGTTGCTGGTGGTGCTGGTGGTGCTGGTGGTGCTGGTGGTGCTGGTGGTGCTGGTGGTGCGGGTGGTGCTGCTGGTGCTGGTGCTGGTGGTGCTGGTGCTGGTGCTGGTGGTGCTGGTGGTGCTGATGTTGCTGGTGGTGCTGCTGCTGCTGCTGCTGGTGCTGGTGGTGCTGCTGGTGCTGGTGGTGCTGCTGGTGCTGGTGGTGCTGATGTTGCTGGTGGTGCTGATGTTGCTGGTGGTGCTGGTGGTGCTGGTGGTGCTGGTGGTGCTGGTGGTGCTGGTGGTGGTGCATGGCTTCTGGCTCTTACCTCTCAATGAAACTGCTGATGGAATCCGGCCTCTCTTTGCAAAGGGCGGCGGGTCACGTCCAAGTTCCAGACAAACAAAAAGCGGCTGAAAGAGGCATCTGCAGACCGGACAACAATGTTCTCCTTTTCATTCAGCATTGAAGACTGCTTTGATAGGGTAGAATCGTGTTGGAAGCTTGCAACTGAATGCCCACGTCGCTGAACTGCAACTAGTCTGCATGCCCCTTTTGGTTGGCATGCATCACTCGCCCGCCAGGTTGTTCTACCCCATTTTGAGCCCGCGCCAAGTCCGGAATGAGCTCTCCTCTGGGCTCCATTCTGAAAAGGCCCCGGCTCCCAAATGCCTTCTGATGGAATGATAACAATGCCGTTGCCGTGTCAAAGAAGAACATGTTGTGCTACCTGATTGGTGTGCGAAGGTGGATAAGCAAGTGTCGGGAGGCTCTCACAGTGCCCTGCCCTTCCTCCCCTCCGCCCCACATCACCTAATGATGAAAAAGAGGATGGCCTCTGTTACAATCCGAGTCCCTTTTTCAGGCGTCTGCGCAGAGATGCGCATGATTCGCACTTTCGATTTTTTTTCACAAGCCCCCTGCCCCCATGCAAGACCAGGATGTTTTGACAGGCCATTCGGAAAAGTCGCCGAAACAAGCATGGGTGTCTTTGCCGGTCAGCTGTTCGGGCCCAGTCTCCAGCTTAAGACCTTCCAAGCGGAGTCCAACAGTTCCAAGCCAAACCCTCTTTTCAATCGACGTGTCCTACCCACATTAGCTCAAGGAAGACTTCAAACCATCCAACATACTGCTTTTGTTTCCCAAACCTTTGGGTAGATGCCAACGATTTGGGGGTGTCCTTTTTTTGGCCTGACCCCCCAAAACTAGGTCCGCCAGTAGAGAGGTTAGAATAAGGGTACTGTTTCTTTTTTCTGTAGTCTACTTTAGTAGGGGAACCCTCCCCCAACAAAGGGTAAAAGTTGGCCCCTAGCTGGGGGACCTAGAAAACGGTTGGGTTTCCCCGTGGCTCCCACACCCGAACACCCACCGAAAAAACCCGACACGAAGACGCCGACCCGGCCTTGGGCATGGGCACCTCGGCACGAAGCGGCCGCAGCACCGCCAGGGGGCTGAGGTCCGGCAGGAACCACATCTCGTAAAAGATGTTGGACTCCTCTTTCGAGTCTCAAGAGACTCAAGCCCCGGCGGTTTTGGGGGAGGGCGTCCCTTGCTGTATCATTATGTTGTTGCTGCGTTTGTTGTTTAATACATATATATATATATTAAAAAGGTGAAAAAGACACGCCAGATGGAGCTTTGCCTGGGGATCCCGCAAAGACCACTGATCAGTTCTTGTGTCTTCATACGGCCATGGGTCAAAATCCCGAAAAAAGACCAAAATGGGTGGTCCAAAATGGTACCATTGGCTTTGACCCACTGCCATATCTGGCTTCTACATTTATCATCTAGAATCAACTCATTTTAGCTATAAGGGTACCCTTTTTTTCTATTTGAAGCTCACAAGAATGCAGCCGTTCAAACGCACCTGTGCTTGAAATGTGCTTCCTTGGTTAAGACTCACCATCTGTGTCCAAGCAATTCTAAGTAAAGAGAAACAAATGGAGAGAAAGAGAGAGAAGAAAACATAGGATGAGATTACAAGGTTAGGAATAGAATGATAGACAGAAGAAGACCATGGACAAAAAATGGATTCGCGTTCTCTCTTCCTCGTCTAACTTTAGGCTTCCCTTACTACTAGTTTCCCAGTGGACAAAAACTCAAAGAATGAGAGATGAATGGGAGGGGGCAAAGGCTCGAAGGTAAACAAGATGAAGAGAGAGGAGACAAGGTGCGAAGTTCCTTTCCTCCCGGAAGTGCTAGAGCTCGTTAGAAGGGGAACCCTCCCGCCAAAAAGGGGAGAGAAGGGCACTACTGGGGGACCTAGGTGGAGAACCAACAAACCCTTTGCTTCTCTGGGTGGTCCTTTTGTTCGATCCCCAGCTAAAAGATCCCAAAAAAAGAGAAGCCAAAAGAGAACAACCCAAAAGGAGAAGCCAAAAGAGAACAACCCAAAAAAGAGAAGCCATCTTATTTTACAGTTGTGCCAACTTCTGCATCCTTGGAAAGGAAGTCCGTTCTCGCCCCCCTGACCACTCCTGGCCCGGACCCCAGGTGAACTTCAGCCTGGCAAAGCTGCGAAGACCCCCCCCCCGGACAAGTCACTTGCCACCGTCCATACAGCTCGCTCCTGATTCTGTTTGCTGGAAACAATGAGTAAAAAAAATAATAAAACGATTTTGGTTGACTGCTCTTGGACTCCTTTGTGAGGTTTCATGGAAATCGACGAAGGTGCCGGGGTGAGCGAAGCTAGTAGGCACTTGCGCGGGCTCCAAAGTGCTTCAAATCTAAGTTTCGGCACTATCGCCATCGGATGCCCCTCCGCCCTGTCAAGTGCAAAGCCAAGGTCCAGGTGGCTTTGAAAACTTCAACAACGCAGGCCAGGGGTCAAAACCCATCAAACTGTCTTGTACGAGTGCAATCCTTTTGTGGTAGTCGGGCTCAGGAAGTCCTCAAAAAATGCGGTTCGGGTGATACGAACTGAGCTTTCGTTGCCCCGTTTTTTGTCTTCGAAAAACCTCTGCCGATTCTCCCTTTCTCTGCCAATTCTGCGTCCCCCTCACGTTGCCCATCACACGCGGCGCCCAACCGGCGCTGGCTGATTCGGGGCGAGCTGAGACCGATCTTTGCGGATTCATGCACACCTCGAAAGCCGGAAGTTCACCAGACTGCCGTTGGCGCCAAGTCTCCTTCAAGTCAGATGGGATGTTTCCTTAACAGTACTGTAGCCATCCCCTCTTTTGTGGTGGTGTATCCGGTGGTTCCCTTGAAAACGAGGCAAAAGGAGGGGCCCTTGCGCACATCTAAACCCCGCTTGCCCGGAGGGGCCCGGCCTTTTCTGACCTCGGAAGGCTCGCACGCTAAAGGTCTCCTGGGTCGAGGGTGCCGCAAAAGGTGTCTGGCAGCGATTCAGGAAAAGCACCGGTTCCACGCGAACTTAGACTTGTGGGAGCAAATACAAGCATTGCAAACAGCAGAGAGAAGTGCACCTCTACTGGTGCAAGGCGCATCGGGAAGAACAACCTAGAAACACATGCGCCAGGTGCAGACGAGGCTAACGGAAGCAGTGCGTGTCTGGTTACTCAGGGAATGACCAACAGAGCACTGGGGCCAGAGGCGCCCACGTGCCAACTCGGCGTTTGCCGACATTGGTCCAAAGCAAAGAAACAGGCAGCAACTAGGCTCCAATGCGCAAGGACAGCAGGGGATTTGCCTACCCACCCCAGCCACAAGATGCAATTGCAAGCAAACAAAGGCAGATGCAACTTCCCCCGCAGCTCACAAAGAAGAGTGGTCCGCTTGGTGCGTTGCGCAACAAGGAAGCAAAGTTTGTTGCAGAAAATACGTTCACTGGCGGGAATCTGTCAAAATCGGCTCCAGCATCGGCTCAAAGGCATAAGCCTTGCCCGTCGCAACCCTGACACCCTGATGGTTGCCCTTCCTCCCACTAGCATGGCAGGGAGGCCATTGAAGAGGAAATTGATCTTCCAGGCACCCTTCCACACATGCCTTCTGTTTTTGTGGGAGGGCGGGTACAAAGGAAGCCCTCACTTGCGACTCTTTTCTTGCGTTGGCTGCCCAGCTTGATCATGCGAAAGCCCGCCCTCCCCAAAGCTGACCCCTCCTGCTTCTTGAGGCGCGCATCCCGCGCCGAGCGGGAGACTTCCTGCGCGCGGCGCGCGAGGCGCGAACCATCCATCCTCCCAGCTCCGAGTGCGACCTGCCAAGGCAGAGTCGCGACAGGACACCTTCCGGCAATGCATCAAGGGTAGTCACAGATCTTCTGAAGACATCGGCGATGAACCCGACATGTCTTTAGCACTCTTGACTTGACACATGTTCACATCCCTTTTGTGGGGTCTTACCAAAGGCGCCTTGATGCCGACCTTTGTGCCAAGTTGTGCCCATGGCGCTGTTCATGATGCAACCTTGCATGGCCTGTGCACAACGATTGGTCCTTCCACGGGTGTTTGTCCATTTTCGGGATTGCATGCTCACAATAACCCTGAAGCCAAGGAGTAGAGCCCCCCAGACAAAAGCTCGCATGGCAGCCTCTCGAAAACCGAAACTTCCCGTCCTTCTGCGGCTGGCCCGCCTCATCCACAAGAACGTCCTTGAGGAAGTGCGCTCCCCCCCCCCTTAGTTGGAGACTCCCTTTGGGAAAACGGGGCACCTGCATCGATTTTGAGTGTGGTTTCAACAGCCGCAACTTCAGGGGTAAACCAAGTAGAGGCTGGGGTTCAAAAGGAGACCCTGGTCTGAAAAGTCCGGGGCAACGAAAGCTGTGCAGGGAACCAAACCGAGGCTCTTGCTTCGAGCACGGCTAAAGCCAGTCAAGTCTCTCTCAACGCCAAAACGGCATGTGGCTGAGGCTTGCTGGCAGTCACTTTCTTTGTCTAGCCCTGCTGTTGTTGTTTTGCAAATCAAGGGAGGTTGCCTCCTGCTTCAGGAAAAATCCAAACAAGTCTGCGCCAACTCGTCCAATCAAAACTTGCGAGCCCCTTTAGCCCCCCAAGTAGCAGGGCATCCGTTCACTTTCCGCGCATCCGTTCACTTTCCACACCAACCAAACTTACAAACGTCCAAATGTATCACTATAATCCCTACCAAACCAGCAACAACGATCCCCCCATGAGGTCACCCTTCGCAACAGAACCTCAATCTAACTCTTCAGCCCCCGAACCAGAACCAGGACCCATTCTCTCCCACCTCCACCCATCCTACAACAAAACCCAAAGCATCCGCCTCTTTTGTGCCGTGCCTTCGCTCCGGCGCTCCCAGGGACGGACTCTTTCCCCCCGGACCCCAGCGAAAAACGGGGGTGAGGTGTCAGGAGGGGGGGGGCGGATCCTGCAGGAAGGCCTCCACGGATCCCAGGTGCTCGTTGCTCTTGGAGCCTGGCGTCGCCAGGTCGCCCGGTCGCGAGTCGCAGGTCCGAGACTTCACGCGAGACGACTCAAAAAACGTCCTCGGGACAACTTGGACGTGCTGGGGCCGGAAAAGACGGGGTGTCCGCCCTTGCCGCCAACGAAAGGGCTCGACCTGGCTCGGCCAACCGCAAAGAGAATGCCTGGCTCATGAAGGTTGGGGTACCAGACCTCTGTGAGTGCAAGGAGAACCACAGAAGCGGCCGGGGCGCGACCACCGAAAAGCGGAATCCAACTACTCGTGCCACCCAAGCGCTCGCAAGACCTTACTTTCGTTCATTGCTCGGCAAGTGCGCTGATGCAGCGCTATACAGCAGCGCTATACAGCAGGTTTCTCCAAACAACATGCATTGTCACAATGGAATGCCCGGTTCGCCTAGGACATATTCTGCGATTGGTTTGTGTTTCTAGGCCCTCCTTGCTCTTGAGAGCCCATGTTACAAGGGGGAAACACGCCAAACCTTAATTCCCGCCATGGCGTCGCTTTCAAAGTGGATACACTTATGTTTTCAGAGGGTGAAGTGTGACTTAAGGACATCCTTTGGGTGCTATGTCAAAAGTGGGGGAACCCTTTTCTGCCCAGGGTAAACAAGCCAACATAAAACCAACCTTTCAAAGAGGCCTTGGTTTTGACACATACCCTCAACTGGTTTGCATGAGATGTCCCAAACTGGGCCTTTGTGGGTCTAAATTATGCCCACTTCATCCCATTCCCCCCATCTACACAAAGAGAGTGTACCAGCCAACGAAAGAGACAACGCGCACGCGCCTACGGTCCAAAGATCGATGAACACGGGACCTTTGCGCTCCAGCTCCTCGCCGCACGCCGAGCCGAGAGATGCTTGTGTTTACTTGTCCTTGGCCCAAACTTTCCTAAAAAGGGAAAGTCTAGGGACCTCAATTCTCGGTTGGACGGAGATGGCATTTTCACCGATTCACGAAACGACTGCGCCTCCCCACCAGATACGCACTCGCAGGAATGGATAGGGGAAGACTAACATGTCTTCGTCGCTGCACAACAGTGAAATCATAATAGTGTTTCTTTAACCCATTGTGCTTCCGCAAACCTTCTACTGGCCAAAGTGAGAACCAGCTCTCGTTGCCAATGGACCACAAGAAAGGTGTAGCATTATTGATGCTGACTAATCAAGAAGTCAAGCCCTTCTCGCTCGAAAACTTTATGCTACGGCAATGCAAATGCCCAGCGAGCGAAAAAAGCAAGGACGTTTCAACCGTGGGGCTTCATAATCCAATTGGCTCTATTTCGTGATCGCGTAAGCGAGTCTTCAAGAACGCGACCTGCTATTGGCGGGACCTGAGGGCTTCACTCGTATGCGGAACGCTTCCCCCCACCCGAGATTTCCGGGTGAGGAAATGAAATGTCGTAGAAGTAAAAGTATACAAGATGTGCGACAAATGTGGGAAATCGACAAATCTCCTCGCGCCGCCAACATGGCCGGCAGCAAGAACGAAGCGCACCAACACCTCGTGCAAGAACAATTAGGGGAATACTGAAGGAATTCTAGGGAAATTTCTGGGGGGTACTAAGGGAACACCAAGGGAATCCTTGGAGAAACCCTTGGAAAGGAAGGACTCCTGTGAGAGTCACGTCTAGAGGACAAGCTCTTCTTTGGTTCCGCCGGAAAACCTGGCCCAACGCTCCCAGCGCTAAATGATGAGCTCGCTCCTCCCAGGTGGCCTCGGTGTCCTCCTGCGAACCAAAGGGCGAGAGCGAGCGGCTCGGCGGTCAGAAGCAAATGCGCAAAGCCACTTAAAAGATTCGAGACTGTCGAAATGGCTATAATTCAAAACACAGGAAACGCCTGGTGAACATCAAAATAGGTGGCAAGTGGATGTTCATCCACCCCAAAATGGGATCGCCATAGGTTATGCCCCATGGCCAAATGACAGATCCATGTTCTTGGATGAGGTAAAGCGTGTGCTGTTCCTTGCGTAAGAGATTTCGTTGCCTCATTGATCTCTGCGAAAGTCGAGGCCGTGCTCTGATCGCTTGCTTGGGCTTGAGAACCAGCCAAATTGAAAAGCGAAGAGCGGCAAAGGTACTTGTTGGAACCATCCAAGGTTCCGCACAGAGCACCAAAACGCACAAAGCGCCCAAAACCATGACAGCTGCAAGCGTCCACGCCCAAAATCCGGAAAACAAAGGGTTGAGACTCAATTTGAGCCAAAGCCAAAGTGTCTTTCAACAAAGAAACCAGGAAGAATCCGTTGCCATTTCTGCCGCCCCCCCTCCAAACACCCCCCGCTTTTAGCCGAAAGCCTTTCCGGCCGTGAGCACCGCGATCCGCCTGCATCTCGTTGCTGCTGCTGGTCTTGGCGAGGGCCAGCTCAAAGACCAGGTCATCGTTAAAGCTGGGCGACACGTCGTCCTGGGGATGTGTCAAGATGGAGTGCCACAGAATGACGCATTCCCTTTAGCCACAACCTTAGTAAGCTCAGGCGACATCCCCAACAGCATGCGGCGCTTTGTTTCGGCCCGCACGTGCATCGGTTGCTTTCTGCTCCCTGCTAAAAGTTTAACTTTTAGTGGTTTAGTGGAAAACCCATTAGTTGGCAAAAAATTAAAGTCCTAACAGCCAAGCAAAATGCACCAAAGGTGCATTCAATGCAAGCGGGCCCCGGCGAAATTCTCGCGGAACCCTGCGGAACCTTGCCTCACTGAAGCCCATCTGGGCTGACACCTCAAAGCTTTGAGCTGTTGGGAACCTTACACCTGGCCTGGACCGGAATCGTGCTCACTCACCGGCACCAGACCATCCCAGAACCTCCGGCCTGCCACCCGGAAACATTTTGAATATTTCAAGTAGTGCACCAGACCACCCCTCCAAAACCTCCCGCAACCTCCCGGAACCTCCACTGGCCGGCACCAGACCACCCCGGAACCTCCTTCCTTGAACTTTACACCCGTCCTGCACCAGCCAGCCCCGAACCTTTGGAACCCTGCTCGAACCTGACTCCAGAGCTCCCCCCAAACCTTATCTGGGCTGAAACCCCTTAGCTTTCAGACAAAGGGTACCCTCAAAGACACTCACTCACTCACTCACTCACTCACTCACTCACTCACTCACTCACTCACTCACTCACTCACTCACTCTCACTCTCACTCACTCACTCACTCACTCACTCACTCACTCACTCACTCACTCACTCACTCACTCACTCACTCACTCACTCACTCACTCACTCACTCACTCACTCACTCACTCACTCACTCACTCACTCACTCACTCACTCACTCACTCACTCACTCACTCACTCACTCACTCACTCACAGACACACACACACACACGCACACACTCCTGAAGCCAAGGGGCGGAAACGGAAACAGTCGTGAAAAGCTGCTGGGTCGATGGTCTCGGTTTGAAGTTTTGCCATTCTATAGACCTGATGTGAAGAAAGGTATGTCCTCACGAGTTATGGTATGTACTGCTTTGGGGTTGGTGTCTCCAAATGATTTCACTGATGGGAAAGACGCTAAACAGTGCCCGCCAAAGTGCAAACGGTACAAAGAAGCAGAGGGACACACGCGACAAAATCCCCGAACCGTGGAATGAATCAGGCTCACACAACGATCTCTGACTGCAAACACCAGCCCTGCAGAAATGCACAGCATGTGCTTTCGAACCCATTCGAAACCATCAACCTACAGGCTTCCCAAGTTCCCCTCCAACTTGCTGGTTCTCAGCAGGCAATGAGGGGACGCCTCCCAAAACATCCCCTATTGAATCCCTAGGTTCATTCCCAAAACCCTCCTATCGCACCAGCAAGCCAAGCGGTGGATCTGATTGGCCGAACCCCAACCCCTCCTGGCAAATGCGAGTCCGCTTCGCCACACCATCGAAGGTGACCTCGGCCGCTGGATTTTCTTTTTGCTCAATCCCTGGTTTCTGGGAACAGGTGGGTCGCTGGTTTGGGCGCGGTGGATTCATTGCATTGTGCTTGGTTCGTGCCTGGCGTTTTTTGGTCGCTCATTGGTTGCGTCTTCTTTGGCCATTGCTGCGTGAGAGGCCATTTGCAGTGTCACAAGGTACAGTACGCCTTCAAGATCCATCTCGTGCTCCAGCCAAACGACCCTAGATTGAAAACGCCCTTTCTGCCTTCAAAAACTGTCAAAAGGGAAAAAGGGGTAGGTCTTCAAATATCAAAGCTGCTGACACCCCATCCTAGATCCCTTCATACCCAACGGCAAATGCCAAGCCGCGAAACGACCATGTCCCAACCAGAACTGAGAGCTCCGTGGCTCCCCATTTAAGTGGAAACTTGGATTCCCCCAGCTCCGCGTCGATACATCCAGACCCTCCCGGCCGGAGATCAAAGAGGTGAAAAGTGAGAAATCAAGGCCCGAAAGGCAGGGCCATGGATCAAGGCGCAGTGCCACTAGTGGTAGTACTAGTACTAATACTAGTTCTAGTACTAGTTCTAGTAGTAGTAGTAGTAGTAACAGTAGTGGTGGTGGTAGTAGTAGTAGTAGTAGTAGTAGTAGTAGTAGTAGTGGTGATAGTCGTAGCAGCGGTGGAGGTAGGGGTTCTAGTAGTGGTAGTGGAACCCGAATGTCCATTGCAGTCTACCCGGCGAACTTCTCTCGAGCGGCCCGGAGGCGCCCGGCCTCGACAAAGGTGTCGATCTCGTCCGTGGGACGGGTGTCGGGTGTCACCACTCGGTCCTCGAAACGCCAGGATGGCGGCAAAATTTGACTGTGTGCTGAGCAAATCAATCCGGGATACCCCCACGGACGCTTGTTTTCATGTGCATGTCCGGGTTTGAGTTTATTTCACATGTCCATTTCCTGCAGCGGCAAACACGGACGTCCATGAACACTGCTCCGCATGTTGTTCAAAGAATTTCTGAGCTGGTCAGGCTTTCCTGCATTCCCCTTCTTGGAGCCTCCGAAAGTGGCGATCGTTTTAGTGGAAACCACCGTTGATCAACTTTTGACTTGGGGAAATCCAGTGACCCCTGCTGGACAGCGGACAGCATCGCCCTCTGCAAGCAAGACTAGTTGGTCTCAAGGCCAAAAGGGCTTGGTAAGCGAAGCTGACGCTTGGTTCTACATGGCTAATTATACAGGTTTGTATAGCCCTGACTCTAACCCACGTGAAACCAGCTAGAACCACCTACATGGCCAGCGCTGCTCAAGGTATATTGTCAGAGACAATATGATGCAAAGGTGCTCTTCACTTTGACAGACCGTGCCTTGCGAGGGAAGAAATACTGAGCGATCTCAAAGGTCCTAATGCGCCCTCAAGCAGCGACCGAGCAATGTTGACTTCTCAGTTGGGGCTTCCTCCTGATGCGTTCCCCCTCGTAACTACCGTGCCCCCCTACACATCTGGAACAACATTAGAAATAGGGTATATTCCGTGTCCAAATGTGCTTCCCCCCCCTTTCCGGCCCCAAAAATGTCACGTCCCCAGCCGCAGCGCGAGCGCACGAAGCCGGGTGCGACCGATCCATTTCCTTCGGCCGTCCCGGAGCGACCGAACGAAGCCGGTTGTGCGAGCCGCCACTTTGATGACCTTCACGAAGAGGTATCTCTTCCGGAGGTCCAGCTCATCCGAGACATCGTCCGTCCTAAGCGGGTTTTTTCCAGGGGCTTTCTGGGGTTCCACAAACCTTTTCCTATTCCACCCTGGGATTACGATTTCCAGATTAAGCCTGGCTATTTCAGTTTATGAGGTATTGTGTCATTTCCCTAGGGCATGTCAGGGATAGGAACATGTTTAGACACCAGCTTGGGGGACGTCTCAGGTAGGCAGTGCAGGAGAAAGAAAAATTCGCACGCCACGGTGGCGTTTTCTTTTCTGACGGATGGTGTCGAGAAAATCGGAAAGAGCGCAGAAGGGTCTTCTTCATGAATGGCGATCTCGCAACCCCACAGCCTTCTTTTGCCTATGTGTCAAGTTCATCCTGGGAACGGGGGAGAACGCCCATCTCTGAAAACAACGCCGGCTGCGAGGATAAAGCGGTTGACAGAGCGCTTGACCACGTGGCTGTCCAAAGCCATCAACATTTGATAAGAACAGTTGTGCTGGATCTGCAGTTGACATATCTTTAGGCAGTGGCGAATGATTGTAGCGATAGTCTGCCTCAGAAGAGCGAATGGAACTGTGGGAGGTTCCAGAAGCTCGGCCTGTTGCCACGGGGTGGAGGGATCGTTCTGTTCATCTAATACAGAACACAGCCGGGCATTGCAACATCCTTCTGTCTATCACGAGTCACAGAAGACGAGGGAGCCCTGAGACACTTCTAGTATTTTCTGCTACTCAACCGCAAGGGGTACTAAAATACCAGTTCTCTGAAGCATCCCCCAAGTTTGCAAAAAGACAATGCGCAAGGGTCAAAGTGTCCTGCAACAACAGGCATCACAAGATGTGGCGACCATGCTTTGCCAGCCCAACGTCAGGATTTAGCTAACCAGGATTCACCTTCTGCCTCTTTTGGACGCGAGACCATGTAGGGAGTGCCCACACTTAAGCAAGGCCCCTTCACTCGCAAACTTGCTTGTGATCAGTAGGGAATGATTCAAGGTGTTGGGAATGAACCGGAAGAAGATTCCCTTAAAGGAAACCACAAGGGTTCGTATGTTTGCCTTTTTTCGGGTTATTCCAAGTCATTCCCTGCCTGGCGAACCAGCAAGCAAAAGTCAACCTTCCAAAGGTCGAGCATCTGTTGGTAGCGAGGCCGGTTCTCCACAGCCACGTGCCCCTGGACTCAACTCCGAGGGACAAGTTTCTGCCCCCGCCCCTTCCGCCTCTGAGGGAGGGGTCCACAAAAAACAACTCGAGGAGGGCGAAAGGCTGGGAACTCATTCGACAAAGGGCGAGACTGACCACTCTGGTCAAACTATGACACACCTGGCCTTCCGGTAGTGAGTAACTTGAAAGCGTCTTGAGGAAGGGACGCGTCGTGCTTTTGGGACCTACACAATCGCCAGCATCGAAACCGGGCCCCAATTGGGAACTCACATGGGAATCCAGAATAGTCACGCTAAAGCTATTCAAGAAACCCAATCCAAATATCTAATCACACGCCTGGGTGACACACTACATGCGTTACCAGCATTGACGGAGCTGATCCAGAAACCTAGCAGCTGCCTTGGAAGGAACACTTCTAAGCGTCCCAGGGAGGCAACACTTGAGGTTTCAAGACACGATTTCCGGCCGGATTTCTGGCATAGAGCGGGCAAACCCAAGACGGCCATGTCCAGGCAATTCCAAACCAACTCAAAGTTCGGACTGGTGGTGACTCCAAACTTCAAAGCATCCCAAGGCGTCAAGTTGTGCGACAACAAAAAAAAAACGATTCGCTGGAGCAACTCTATTGACGGATTGACTGAGACAGGGCTTCGGGCTTCGAGGAGAAAAAAAAGAGACTGAACTTGTGTTGGGAAGCGACATCCTCCTGCGCCCCAGGTCCCACCCCTCGAACCAGGCATCCAATTTCACGGCCGACTACAACCCGACTGGTACCCAGAGGGGTCAAGGCTCACGTAACGTAGGCCCCCTCAGACTGCCCTTCGAGGGAAACCGCCCCATGTTGGGGCAAGCCATTGGGAAGGGCAGTTTGAGGGCCCAGGTAGACAGACCCGAGTACGTCGCCAAGCACCCGGTTTTTCGAGACCCGCCTGCAGCAGTCCACACCGCTGCCGATGCGCCCGCCCGCCGTCCTGAGCTCGGTGCAAAGCGAGCGAGCGAAAGATCTAAGACGAGAACCGCAGATTCTGGCCCTCACTTCCATCTCCCGTTCCATTTTGGGGCTTCCCTCCCAGCTAACGTGGAAGTGCACAGACCCCTGTAGAAAGACTACTTCCCTCTTGAAAGACGACTTTTTGCTTGGTTGGTTGGCCTTCTTGCATTCCATGTTAGTTGCTGAGAAAGTACCCGATTGCCCACACCCAACTGGCTGTGGCTCAGAAAAGTGGAACCCATGTTTGGGCCCCTTGGAACCCTTGGACCTGCGTAACCCCCGCCCCGAAACTGCTCCAGGTCCAAGGCTCCGCCAAGCTGAAGAACCACGGGGCGGGTCGCAGGCTGGCCTCGCGTGCGCCCAGCTTCCCAGCGACGCGCCAAGCGCGCCGAACCCACCAAGGCATAGCTGGCCTTTTGGTAAAATAGATGGGTTTCTCGGGAAAATTGAACAAAAACCCATGTAAACCAGTGGAACCCATCTATTTCTCCAACCGAAAAAGGGCACCTATGGACCAAGCGCTCGCAATCTCTGCTCAGCAAATCCAGCGGAGACTGAGATGCTGGTCCAACAAACTCGACAACATCAAAGTCACCCGAAAAAGTGGCATGGTACAAAGGGAAAAGCCGCCCCAGTCGCTGACTTTGATACCCCAAGAAACAGCGTAAAAGATGAAATCACAGCAATATGCTGGTTCTGTTGCAGTACATTCTCAAAAGAAAAAACTGGTCAATTGCTCAAGGCTTGCAATTGCTTGCTGCACTTTCCCCGCCTTCACCTCCCCATGCTCCAGCACTCCCCGCAAGGGAAGCTCCGCGTTTGCCAGGGGCATGTGATAGCGTGAGCCGCCTGCTCGCTGACGCGCCACTGCCCCGCGGTAAAAACATTGTTGCCAAAGGTTTGTCCAAACAGGAAGGCTGGGTTGCCGCAAAGTGTCGAAAAACAAAACAAACAAAGCTCAGCCCAAAACCACCATGATCCTCTGTAACCCAGCCTAAGCCAGGCGCGCCCGTCCAAGGCCCCAGTCTTTTACAAGAGTCGAGTTGGGCTTTTGATGGGCCAAAACCCGCCGTGCTTCAGACAAATCGATCCATTGTGCACAGGTTTGGATCGTGGGGTCTGCGACCTAAGGGTCAAGATACCTTGCCTCTCGCAAGGAAGTTCACCAGCTCAGGACAAGCATAATGCTCAACATTAAGAAGACCTGAGCCATGTATGCTTAGGGCTGGGCGCATGAATGTTGGCTTATGCGGGCAACACTTGGTTAAGCCCAAGAATGATGCCGCGCAATATGGCTGGTCTACCAGCAACACGTGAGATTTGGGACGTCAACAGTATCAAATCCCAAAAGTCATTTCGTGCCGCTACCCCCAAAATGGGTCGCCGGTTTGTCCATTCTGATGGGTTTTCCGAAGCCAACGAAGCTTGCGGCATTCCCTTGCCGGGATGTGGGTTTCTTTTCAATTGGAACCCCCCACAATGCGATAGGTTTGCATGCGGCGGCTTCTCTTGGGGTACCTCATGAGCATTCTGCAAACTCGCTCTTCCCTGTACAAGTTAAGGGTCGGTATGATAAGAAGATGGGCAGGTGAAAAGGCCGTCTGCTGAACACGGGCAGAAATGACAATGAGGCTCGAAGCGATAAGCTGCTGAAATACATGTTGACGGGTCGAAATGCACACGTATAGATCTTACATTGCCTTGCATCACGTCACCTTGTAGCACATCGCAAAGCAGTGCGTTATTGTGTATTACACGGCACTTCATACAGCAAATCACAACACATCATATTAGAGGACGTACGTGTTGCATGCAGACTTCGTAACATGCGTAGTCCACGCATCTTACACATGTATTACACATAAATTCCATCCATGAAGAAACTCCGCTAAGGTCAAGGCGTTTTTCCCCTCAATCCCCGGAGGCTTTCACAACCAAAGCAAAAACATAAAGCATCAAAGCCGACAACATGTTGTCAGTCTCAACATATTCCTTAAAAGAAGAGCGAACTTCATGGATGTGATTCAATAAATCACCCCACCCCACCCACCCCCCGGAAAAAAGAAGAAAAAAAACGTTGTTCTGGTGTCCCTTCAAACACAAACACCGTAAAAAAAAAAAAAAAGCATAGACTTGGCGGTCCTTCTGATTTCAAATTTCCCTTCCAGTCCCAACCCAAAAGAAAACAAAGACACGACACCCGAGTTCTTTCCAGACCTCCCGACGCCCGCGCCAACAGCCCGCGCCTGGCTTGCTGCCCCCCAGGAGCTCCTTGAGGTCCCGGGCTCGCTCGTAGCTGTCCAGGCGCACCTCACGGCAGCTAAGCGCCGGCGGAATTCGGCGGCGGTTTTTTATATATATATATATATATATATACATATATATATATATATGTACATATATATATATATATATATATATATATTCTCGGAGATAAATGGCTGTGGTGAAAAAGGCGTGCCCGACAGGGAACGGCAAATGGAAGCAAAGACCCAAACCTGCGGCTTTCTGGTGGTTTTGACTTGTATTTCGACCCATACCCAAGTTGCCGTGTAAAAGTTTGCTCTCTTTGAGAGACCTGATCTGTCATCCACATTCCATTGAACCATCCAAGGTTGAACATGGCCGCGGAGCTGAGACCAAGACCAAGTTGAATGAGCCCCATTTGGCCATGGATCAAAATCCCGTACCCCCAGTGAACATCCCAATCCCAGTAAAATAGGCTCTAAAATGGGTGGTGAATTCACCTACCCCAAAATGGGATCCCATTGTTTTGACAACCACAGCCATTTCTAAACCGCTGGTCCTCTGAAAATTTGATTCGCTGAGCTTTCTCCAAGCCCATGGCTGCAGCCGCCCTCGTCTCGTTTTGGAACATGGAAACTCGCCCGGCTGTCGCGCAGCCGGGCTTGAAAATGAACAGGGCGCGATTGTCAGTGGTGAAACATGTTTATTCTGCTTTCCCTTGCGACCATCTGCACATTTACTATACTTCCAGAAGCTAAAAATTGTGGATTCCCAAAAGCATCTTCTTTGCCATGGTGAGCTTGTTATACCCCCGAGCGGCAAGCTCGCTATAAACCAGGCACAAAAGCGGCCAGTGGCGCTCCCCAGGCACCTCCAGTGAAGCATTGCTCAGGTCTGAGCACGTGCCCCGGAAGTAGCCTCGGAACCGCTTTCTGTCCTTGGCAGCGAGGTCTTTGGAAGATGTGTAAGGAGGGCAGCTGGAGCATGAAACTGGTTGAGGCACTCTTGCATCAGAAAAAAATGGAAGAACGCTAGTGTGAAATGTGCAAAAGCAAGATCGTGATGTTGCATGATGAAACACATGTGTGCTGTTAGGGATGTTCGTGATTCATTCGGCTTCCGCCTGCTCCATCCTCACAAAACCTCGCGTCTTACACCGGGAGGGTTGACGTTTTCAACATTCAAGAAGGAACGACGACGAGCAGGCAAGTTTTCCGTGCATATTCGACGCATCTAGGTGCACAAGTAGGAGAAGCAGCTCCTGTAATTCCCGCCTTGCCTCCGGTTCAAACAGGTCTTCTAATGTTGACCCTGGATTCATAAACCCCAGTTCATCACTACGGGGGTGGAACCCCTCCAAGAGTGACAAATCCCCACAAGTTTCACCCAGAAAGGGACACCCCCATACTAATAAACTGGGGTTTCTTCATCCGGGGTCAAGTCCCTTGGGGTCCTTCACAGCTCGTCTCTCCGAGCCGAGGAGCCCAGCGGTCCCACATCAAGCTGCCCCCGCAGTTGCCGGACTTCTTCGCCCGCAGGTAGCAGCTCCGCGTGCCCTGGGACAGCAGCGAGGGCGTCTGGATGCAGATCCTAAGCCCGGAACATGGGGCGCACCGGGCCCAGAAGCAGATCTTGGCCCTTCAAAAACACATGGCAACTCCGCACTGTACATGGGCTGACATGAAAGCTCAGCCCATGTGAAGCAACCACTCTCCGGACTGTCCTGAGTACAGCGCCGCTGAAAGCACCCAGCATGAGGCCACTTCAACCCGAACTGCCTGCTAAACCTGCCTGGTTCCATCACACCTTCAGCCTACCAGCCTAAGGCGGCGTCGGGCTTCGGGACTGCGGTTCGATTCTTTCAGCTCTCTCACTGCATTCACAAGATCGTGACCTGGGCAGGCAAGCAGCTGATGAATGCCAGCCATCTGAACCCGCTGTACAAGTGCTCTTACGCCAACCCCGGCACTGCCTTTGCAGCGCAGCCGCAACCACATGATTGCCTGTACACGTTCAATGGCCTCTACATGTTCCTCTTGGGAAGCTCAAGGTCTACTGGCTGGAGATGAAGATGCAACCAGGTTCCAGGTTCAAAATTGCACTAAAAATGGGCTGCGAAGCATCGACCTCAGCGCTCACTTGCAAGCGCCTGAAGGCGCTTTGACCTTCTTGGTCGGCCGAGGGAAGGACTTGCGCCGGCCATCCTTCAAAATAACAGGCTTGTACTCGTCAGGAACGCTCTTGTGCATCACTGGGCTGTTTCGGTACCGATCTACGTGAGCTTTGAATCCTTGGTGTGGACCACTCCAGCCCACTTGGCAGACCTTGCTCGTTGCCATCGACCATTCCGAGAACCCATCCAGCGCCTTCCAAACAGCATCCACGGAAATACCATCCACCATATTTACAAAGGCATAGCCGAGATTTGCGGCACGGTAGAAGTCGCAGGGCAGATACACAAAGTCATAGCACCCTGCCAGACCTTGCTCATCAAGCAAAGTGAGAAGCATCTCGCGAGTGTAGTTGTTGGGAACATTGCGCAGCATCACAGTGGTCCTCTCAGCTGGCACACTCTGTTTAGGGGCATCACGCCCGGCATCTGCAGGCTTGATTGTGGGCTCTTCAACCACAACCCTGCCCTGCGCTTCCTGCGTTGCCGCTTTGGCAGTGCGCCTTCGAGCTTCGTCATCTTGCTGGTCACTGAACTTGCCTGGCTCGTACACTGCCGGTACATCCAAGACTCCTACCAGAACGCTATCCGTCACGAAGCGCCGGAGCTTCCTGTAGCAGCGAGCCATGCTTGCATCATCAAAGTCAATAAAAGTACTCCTCACGACCACGTTGCAAGAGCATATCTCCTCAACTTCCTCGTGCAACTCAGTCGAAGCAGTGGAGCGCGGAGACTCTGCAGACGTGCTCGCGTCACTGTGGGTCACCTTGCCCATCTGCACGAAAACGGAAACCATGGAACCGGAGCTGACCAGAGTGCGACGATCTTCCCACTATGAGCCTGGCTTGAGCCCTACCTTGGACAGGAAGGCAACAATTGAACAGTCTTCTAGGCAAATGACCCTGTGGGACTCTGACATGAATGCTGGGAAAACCACGTCGCTCTGCGGCTCTGCGTTTTGTTTTTTGCAAAGACCTGGTTCTGCACGTACTGGCATCCTGGAGCTCAATTTCTCCCATTTGTGCCCCGCACACCCCGCACAGCACTGTCCCATGTGGCGCCCACTGGTGTTTCTTGCTGGCTTCCCTTTGACACCAACTGCAAAGGGGTGCAGCCCAAAGAAACGGGGTGCAAGACTGGGCGAAGCGGCCAGTCGCCACAAAAGATGATCTTCCCACAAAGAGGCACGAAGGCTTCCCTTAGATGAAGCATAGGTTTGCGTGTATGCGGTCAAGAAATGTGTGTGTGTGTGTCACAAAAAGGGAGAACAACACCATGTCAACAAGAAGGACAACATCATGCCGCGTTCAAAGGAAACAACCATGAAACTGACCTTCAGAAGGAGTCGTCCCCACACCCGACTGACCCCAATGCGCCGAGGTACGATTGCTGGGTGAGGTCGTCAGAGGTCACCGACATTGCCTGACAAACCACACATGATCATAGTAAGTTTTGGTGTTTTCCCTGCTGTGAATAGTTTGCTATCCTCCCACCCAAAGAAAAGGGCTTCACTGGTTCTTGCTTGCAACATCTAGCTCATGCTCGAAAGTATGAGCTGCGTGAACTGCACGAATGGTCCAAGTGTGGTTTGTGCGTTTCTGTTTTTTTTCTTTTTCTTTTGGAAGCCAAGAAGCTGAAAGCTCCGAATGGCAAGCCCACATCATAGATGTCCGTTTAGCCGAAACCCAGTCTAAATCAATGGAAACGGAAGCTCGTGTTCTTCAGGAAACCGAGTGAGCCGTTTGGTTTCCAGAAAGACTCCAAATCGGGTGTCAAAAATATGGACCCTTTTTGGGACCTGGTGCCGCCTTGTGCCGCCTTTTTCAGGAGATATCAAAAAGAGGCCCCTACTTTTCGCAAACCTTGTCTCAAAAAAAATGACCACCCCCAAAATATGTGGTTTGGGGTGTCCCTGTCCAACCCCAAAAGGCTAGCCTTAGACTAATCTGTTTGCAAAAACAAATACAATAGAAAAACAAAATAAAAAAGAAGAAGAAGAAGAAAACGGAGAGAACAAAAGAAGAAAAAAAAAGAAGAAGAAAAAAAAGAAAAACAACTAACTATGTGATGAAATTCCGACGGTTTCGGTTGAGCGGCCCGCTGCATTTGCGTGGCCGCCCGCGTGCTGCGCGCCATGGTGCCCCTCCCGCCCTGGGAACGGGCAACGGGAAGATGCGGCTCGTCCTTTTTGCTCACTTGGCCAGTGATGAGCCAAAAAAAAGTGTACACTTTTTGGGCCACTAGTAAAAAGGGAGAGCCACCAACGAAAAAAGTGCAAAGTGTGTCACTGGCTGGGTGAGTTTGAGTTGGTGACCTTTTTGGGATGGTGTTCAAGTGCACACATATTTGAGGGCTCCCCAATATGGCTGCTTCTGCAACATAGGTTGGAACACCCCAAAATGGCTTCGGTTATGGGTATGATTTGCAATAGAGGATGCTTTGGTGGACATCAGCATTCGGAGGGGATGCATCTCCACCAACCACTTTGCAGGGGTGTCCTATTGAAATTCATGGTTGCAAGACTTGCCTGCAAAGTTTAACAAATGAATGCGGATAAGGGTTCCTATGACCACTTTGCTCCCTTACCCCTTCGTTGTCTCTCTCTGCCTCTCTGGTCCTTCTCTTTGTCACTTGTATGTTATGGCTTGGTGATTTCATTGGGGCTGATACAGATGTAAAACACAAGCCATTATTTGAAAAGGACAACCCTTGGAAGCATATGATCTTGTATCGGTTGGTTTTCATTTTTTCTCCAATTCGGCTTGGCCATGTTCTGGGGCTCCGAGTAATTACGAATGCTCTTAGTTGCTCACATAGTCACAGGCGCATCACTTACTGTACAGGAAGAGCAGGCCACAGGCAGTGGCGCACGGACTCATTTCGCGTGTCTCACGTGCAGGTTCATCCGGAAGAGGAACCCGGTAAAGCTGGAACAGGACGCTGGTCACAGGAACGAAGCGCTGGTGGCAGATTGAAAGTCAAAGTCGCGATGGTGCTGAGCAATTGGTTGGACTTTGCGTGGTTTGAGTATCGGACGATCGGATTGAGTAAGCTTCCCACTCCGGAACCTCGGTTTGCCACAAGTGCCTGATTTGATCCGTCCTTCTGCGCTTGACACAGGCTACTCAGCAGTGAAACCTTGATCCCGGATTGGCTTGTCTGTATCACAGGCATTCGGACAATTCGTGCTTCCATGGCTGTCAGCTGTATCGGTTTCTCCTCATCGTGTTGGTCCAGAAAGGTATGTATGCACTGCTAGCTTCAATTCCGTTGACATGGCGCAGTGTTCCATATGAAAGGTCCTAGTTCTACTATCCTCCCTTGTGCTTGGGTCACCAAGCTTCAGCGATGCAAAAACGCACGCAGCCTGTTCCCACAAAATTGGCCCTGGTCCGAAGCTCACCAGGTACCCCAGCTCCCAATATTTGAACTTGGAGCCTTCCGGATCGGTGGCTTCTGTGCTTTGGGGGCTCGCAGGGGCTGCAGCCAAATGAGTGGCAGTCCAAATCTCAAGCCCCGTGAAGGAAAGGCGCCTGAGACCGAACCATCCCCTGCCTGTGCGAGAAAACGCTTCTCAAATCATGCCCAAGGGCCAATGATCTTTCCAGTAGTCCATGAGTCAAGGCTGGCAGATCATGCAAGCCCCAAAGTCAAAATGGCCCGTTGCCGAAACAAGAGGCCCCCATGTTTTCAGTCAACCATTGATTGTGTTCCGATTGTCCACCATGGAAGTCGATGCCGCCTGAACTCATTGGAAAGCAAGGCGCGGCCATCGTCTGCTCCTCGTCTTCTTCCTCGTCAATGCCATCCCTGCGCGAAGTCAGATGCAAAGCACTCTCAGCAAGTTTCACCGATGCCATAGTTTCAAAAGCAACAGAAGCTTCAAATGCTGAGTTCCTTCGTTCCCGCGACTTCCTGACACGCCGGTGTTGAGTGCAAATGATACCATCTCTCTCCTTGGGAGGGCACCGTGATCAGTCCCCTTACCCTGGACATGAGGGGCGAAAAATTTCAAGGATCGCGGACAGCAGCCTACTTCTTGGAGATTAGCCGGCCACACCCTTCCAAACCCCGAAACCAAACATGTCCAGTCATGTCGCCTCAAAAAAAAGAAGAACTTGTTCGAGCTTGCGATCATGTGTACGCCTCACCTGATCACAGACTGGAACAGAACCTGCCATCCTTTCCTACAGAGCTCACGTTCGGATTTCCCCAAATCCAAAGTTGCTCAATCCATTTCGTGGATTTCCATTGAAACCATCGAAATCCACGTCGTTTTAAAAGCTGCCCGAACCAAGGACGTGGCTCAAAAACCCAGCCGTCCTCTACCGCGCTCACGCCGGCCTGAGCCGCTCCAGCACTCGTTTGCAGCTGGGCACGGCGCTGGCGCGCCACACCTCGGGGGACCCGCGGCGCTTTTTTTACCGAAAACTTACGCAGCCCTGGCCCGGGGCTTGTGTTTTTGTTGAGCAAAAAGAGGCCAACTCACCCGGACAACGCACCTGGCCGGTGGCGTTGTTTCATGGAAAATTTCGGAGAATGGGCGGCCAAAAGGAAAAAAGCGGAAGGGGGTTGAAGTGTCGACACGTCCAAATGGCTTAGGGTGTTGACAATGCCAACTGGTTTTGGGTGTGACACAGGATGCTTTTTGGTTGACACAGCCAAATGTGTTTTCTTGAAGATGAAGAATAATCCAAGTGCGTGTCTTCAAATGTTAGATACTGTCACCCTGCCACTCTGAAGTTGGGCTTGCTTTGCCTCGGGCACCTGACATGCTCTTTTCACACACAGGTTCTGACGTGGATCATAGGGAAAGGACAACCGTCCCTGGGTCATCGGAGCCTCGGAATCGGTCGCCTTGTGAACATCTTCCGCATGGAGGACATGTGCAGAAACACGGAGAAACAAAGAGGAAAAAAAAGGGATCATCGTTCCCAGGCTAGAAGTCACCGATCCCAGTCATCAAGTCAGGCAGGTCCTCCAAGCCACAAGTTGGCTTCAAATCCAACAAGCTGTGAATTTGAAGCTTCGTCTCAAACTTGGGGGGGACCTATTTGTGAGACGAAAGGGGTTCAACTCAAGGCTCTTCTTAGCCACGGCGCTGGCATCGTGAGCTCGAAGTCATAGATCTCCTGGAAGAACATCCTCTGAGCTTTCAGGCGACCCGTCAAAAGCATCTCCACAGATTGAAGGCGTGCTTCATTCCACGGCAAGCTGTCACAAAGGCCAAAAAGCAGAAAGACGTACAAGTACCAAGAGGAATCGCGAGTTGAGTGTGAGTGAGTGTGTATGGGTGTGTGTATGACACAAGCAAGAAGAGGGACAACAAAGCGCAGGAAGTGCACCAAATGAGGAAGCGAGGAGGATTGATGAGGAGGGGAGCACATGGCCAAAAAGAATAGAAGAAGTACACACATAGTAAGAATGCCATTGAAACGACGGAAGCAAGCATGGCATTGACGTGTAAAGGCAAGTAGGTTGCATAAGACTGCTGGACATGGATGGTAGGAAAACGCACAGAAGCCACAACAGCAAGCAAGCAAATCTGAGGAACACGGCAATCATGTGTCCTAAGCAAAGGAGCTTAGGACCAAAACAAATGGTTGCATCTTTGCTAAAACAAGGCCGACGCGGAAACCAATGAAACACCTGCGATTCGGTTGACTTCGTTCGCCAGCTTGCCAAGGTGCTTGAAGGCAACCTGAACGCGGCACTGCTTCTTGCCGAACTTGTCCACCTGAGACTAGAACGCTTGAGCCCATACTTGAAAGCTCTAGTGCTACCTTCCCCATTCTTTCCAGGGATCCTTCTTTCTACAAGAATGGGGAATCAACCCTTAGAAAACCTCATACCAACACACTTCAGGCTCTTGTTCAAAGGGATCAAGACAACAAAGGTCGGTCGCTTTCTGCAGGCTGAGCACCAGCCTCAAAATGATGGCAAAACTGCCTATGGTAGCTCTGGACAAGCAGCCGCTCTGCACAAACGGGTCGCATACACGTGAAGCTACCGTTAGCTGCGTGCGGTTTGAGCCCAAAACTGAAAACAAAGGTCTCGACCTATGAGGTTGCTACACACCATATTGGTGTGTCTTTCTTTGAGGGTACCCTTTTTGGCCTGTTTTCAATTCACAAAGACGGACCCATGTTGCTTGGGGGCAAAAGAATTCCCTTGTGAAAACCAACCATTGCAAGCATTGGGCAAAGTTCCACATCAACAAGAGGCAGTGAGCCACTCCTGGGTTGTCGAACTAGGACGGGACTTGTCTTTTTCCCGTTCCCCTATAAAACTCATGGAACAAATCGGTGGGAGAGATGCCGATTCCAAAGCCATGTGGGGGTTCCCTAGTTTAGGGCACGCCCAGAAGCTGACAAAGGGCCAACTAAGGCAAGGAGAACCCCGAACTAAGCCTGGGGCTATTTCTACGATATCAGAAGATCTTCACAGAAGCCAAACCAGCGCAGAAGCCAAACAACACATCCACTCTGGCAACAAACACCGCTTGGGGAAGGTTGCAAAAACAAGCTGTCCCGCCTCTCAAAAGGACACGCCAAACCTTTCCAGCGAAAAATGAGAATCGAATCCGAAACCCAAAACCCTGTGGCACCAGGAAAAAACTTCATCCACTTCCTCGCCTTGTTGCACTCCATCTCATTCTGAATAGGGCCCTTGGCAAAGGTCAGCAATGGCTCCTCGCTTGAGGGTGGGGAGACGTGCCAGGTGTGTTGCTCATGTCCTCTGTCTTCCAAAGTGGGGAGGGTGCCAAAGAAACCCAACTTTCTTCCCGTGGCAGGTCTCTGCGCCTGGAAGAAACCTTTCGGAACATGAACCCTGAACACCACACCTATGGGGTACCCAACGTTTGTCGGTTAAGGGAAGCATTTTGAGGTTCCCTTCGAGAAACCCAAAAGGAACCTCTTTGGGACCCACCCCCTGAAAGGGCAAAGACTTGGTCGACGCGTTGCTCGTGAACTCACCAGTTGTCACTTGCACAATATATGTTCCCTCCAAATACATTATATATATAATATATATATATATATATACATGATGGGCAAAACTTTCGCCTGCATGTGATGCTGCAATGCGGGGGATACCACATCCTCAACAACCATATTGTCAGCACTCGGACACGCATGCTGAGTTCTTTGCACCTGAATTGCTCGGCCACCCTGCGTATCAATGTCAGTTGTGCATCGCTGGCAAGTGGGAAAAGGCAAGTGAAACCGCTCTCATAACCGTTAGAAACTGGATTAAAACAATGAGCCCGGCAAACGAAACACACTCTCACACACACACAACAAAAGGCGGGCGCAGTGAAACTGCCCGCACTGCCGCGCTCCCTCTTTATGCTGTAGAGTGTGTCATGGCGTTCAACCACCAAGCCATGTCGATTTACAAGTTGTTGTTCGGCATCCTGGCGTGGATTATTTTCGAGCCAACGCTTCAGCTTCCCTTGGGGGAACCCCGAATAGGAATCCGAAGAGATCGTTGCGAGCATAGGTGTCCTTTTACGAGAAATAGATGGCCCTGGTAAATGATTGAACCACCTGGTAAACCAGGGTCATCTATTTTTCTACCAAAACAACCAAAAAGGGCACCTATGGTTGCGAGGCTCCTCTGCAAAGCAGTCAAACTTGTTGATCCGCCACCGCGCCCAATTCCAGATCTCCACGCCTTGGCCGCGAGTTCGTTCGCGAGGTGGGAACAAATCTTTGGCCCAGGTCATTTGTTTCATATGTGTATGTGCCAATCATCATTGTGTCGTCATCTGTCGCCAATCTTCATAGGATATCTGATGAATGTGCTCACTCTCATACCATTCCCACTACGTTTGATGGTGATTTTTTCCGAATGTTGCACGTACGACAACGTGTCAGACTTAGGGACCTCTTCGATGCACGCGAAAGGAACCAACAGAAACTCAGTGCGGGCGGCCTTCGAAGGGCGGCTTTGAGTTCCGGAGGCCTTCCACTGGTTGGAATCTTAGGTCACAAGCAACCGGAGCTGTGCGAAGAGCAAGCAGCCCAACAGAGCCAAGCACAACCCGCAATCCAGGTCTGGGGTCTGTCGGGTCTAGGGTCTAGGGTCTAGGCTCGGTCTGGTTGCAACCTCCATGCCCATTCCCCCTTCTTCGGGAGGAAAAAATGCAGATCCGATGTCAGAGGCTTTCTTCACACAGCCTCGTTTCACTCTGCCCCAAGCCCCCTTTCAGCCGGGCAGCGGAGGGTCTGCCTCTCCAGGTCCAAGTAGCTCCCGTGCCTACGCAGAGGCGCCACCCGAAATGGCTGCGGTTGGAAGCATAGGCGCTTCCAGCAAATAAGGAAACCCGCAAAGGCAAGCAAGACTGGCTCACTCTGTACTCACAAACTGGGAAGAAACACAACTTGCTCTTTGGTCCAACCCAGCTTACTTCTGTTACCAAGGCTTGCTGTCCAGCAAGGGTTTGATCGACGGTGCACGGGGCCAGGAATGCAAGGAATGAAGGGCTCGTGAGTGGTTGGGTTTGGCGGTTGGGAAGTCGGGATGGCTTCCCATCCACAAGCACCAGGGCTTCAAATCCAGCTCCCAACTCGATCCCAACCCCCAAAGCCTTTGCAACGATGACTGCTATGGCTCGTTGGGTGTCGCGCGCTTCGACCGCGGGGCTCAGGTTTCATTCTTTTGAGCCACGTGAGGGCAGGCCCAAGATAAAGTTCTGGGCATTGAGCGGGGAACAGACAAATCACCTCCCGACCCGCACATGCCCTCGCAAAAAAGTGGCGGAAAGGAAAGGACAGCTACAGTACATATAGGATCAAGAAAATAACTTCAAATCGGTGTTTGGTTGCTGGCAGCTGAGGCGAGTTTGTATACGCCCCCCCCCCCTCTTTGCCATGTGGCCATTCGAAGGAGACATCAAAGTCGCACTCGGTGTCCTCACCGTCACCTTCGCAAGTCCGGGCCGAAAGTTTCACCCGTTGAAACTCGGACACCATGTTTTTTGTTTCTCGTTGGTTTCCGGAAATTCGAAAACCCTTTTGGACGAATCAGAAAACTGGAGAAATGTACAGGGGAAGCCGCATGGGCCCGTTCTCAGCAGATTCTCTTGTACTGGATCTTGATCGCTCACAGGCCACCAAAGCCCACCGTGTATTGTCAATAGGACGATGTGCTGGGGCCGGGGCAAGACAAGAAAGCACGCTTCAAGTTCAATTCTTCCTTAGCCAATTGAAGTGAAACCCTGGATGGTTATTATCCGCGTTGGCTTCAAGGATTCGTGGGGGCCATCAAAGTCAATCAATACCATTGTCAATGCATCCTTGGGTACGCAGCCCAAGTTGACAAATTGCAGCCGTCCATCTTTGCAGCAGAAAAGCACAAGGCATTGACAACTCACTCTTTCCTGCTCCATCTTTCCAGTGATTGCTCAACAATGAAGGCCTCTTGTCGTCCACAAGAATAGGCGCACTACACATCGGCTTGAGCAACGGGTACGACGTCTTTCGCTGTACTTAGAGAAGTTGTTGTGTCTTCTACACGCGAGCGGCGCCAAAAAGAGGGCCTCTGCTCCTAACTTTCAATGACGGCAGCTGGATGCAGCTGTAGCCCCACCTCAATGACTCAAGGCACTGTCATGACCCTCATATTCGCCAACAGCAACGAGCCTTGCAGCCTCTCACGCAAGCCGAGAGAGCGCGGAGGGAAGCCACCGGGCTGACGCCGATGGCGACGCAGGCGGTTCTCACTCTCGCCGATTGACCCAAACGCCCCACGTACTGCCCGGTAAGCAACCGCCTGCAAGAAGGGCTTTTTTTGTTCCCTGGCAACAGCCTGCCTTTTGCCAAATGGTATAGCACCATAGATCCCAGGGTGAAACCTGTGCCCAGCCCCGTCTGCGCCTGGAACGTCGTGCACCACTGGAGTCCGCAAGACCACGCCCTCATCACCTGCAACCGGGCCCCCGCTCTCATTCCTTTTGCCGTAGCTCGGGACCCGTTGCTTTTCTGGGGGAAGACATGAATTGAAGCATGCGCTAACATCTGCGTGCGCAGTTCAAAATGCTCCAACCCGAGCACGTCATCTCTTAGCTCCATGTTGGGACGCTTCTACAGCTTATGAATCAAAAAAATTGTCTCACTCGTCTTGACCTCTCCATTTACTTCTCTGTTGTTCTTCAGTTGACAAGGGCCAAAGGCCAACTCCTCGACCGCATCGTAGCCACGATCGGCTCATCTTCCAGGCCGCCTGCGACCCAGATGGAGGGCTCCTTGCCTCCGGCGCGCACCAGGAATTCCTCCTGAGGCACGGCACCAGGCCGGGCACCGGAGGCACCCGACCGCTTTGATGCGCAGATGCGGAGATTCGGGGCCCGGAGAATTCCAAAAGACGAGTCTGGCTGCAAAGGAAAGGAGCTCGGGTGTTAGTGGCGAAAACTTCCGAACCACCAAAAAACTGCGGTGAACATGGGTCTCTGTCACGTAGTTCTGTTGCGATGTGGATCCGCGATAGATCTGCAAAACACTTCCAATGCATCTGGAAGACATTTTTTGATCTCTAGTCGAGTTGATTCACTTGGGGCATCCCAGATCTACAAGCAGATGCAGTGGCTCCTTCATTAGACCGAGCCACAGAGCATGCTTCTTTGCCAAATGCTTCCTGTATACAAAGTCTCGCTTCTCTCGCTCTCTTGCCCCCTTCCGCTCCTTCGTGCCGCCAAAGATGAAGTTCGCAAAGACCAGGATGGCCTCATCCGTCATGTTCTCGATCCGCACCTGAAACCCCCAAAAAAAAAACCTCGCGAATCCAAGGAGTGCCAAAACCCCCATGGACGCCCACACGAGCAAATCATTAAAACAAAAAAAAAAAGAAAAGCGGAGCTTGGAATTCGGTGCAGAACTTGTTGCTGGACGCATGCATTGCACTTGATGGGGAAGGGCCTGTTTGCTGGTGTGACCCATTAAGTGGTAGCTGCTTGTCGACTTGTCTTCACCAAGTGGCACTTCGATGCACCCGCACGAAGCAAGCTCTTGCTGATTGTGCTGAGCTTGAAGATCGTCCGGCTGTTCAGGAGAATTGAAACAGAGTGTTGCTTGCGAAGGTTCCACCTTCATCAGGAGATGAGCTATTGACTCAATGACTCTTATCAATGTGACTTACAAGTGTAAGCCATGTGAGGCGGACAATGACCATGTTCAATGCTCGAATTCGCATTTCAGCAACAAGCGTTGAATTCTTCGTCTCTCCCTTTTTTTTGTATCGAAAAAGAAAAAGAAAAAAGGCAGTCTTGGGAAGCCCTTCTCCCAAGCTGCGACAATAGGAAGCCCTCCAAAATGGCGGTTGGCTTTTGCTTTGGATTCCGATTCGAACACCAACCGGGGACCCTAAAGCCCCTCTTTTAAACCATCATCAAAACAAACGAGCGGAAAAAAATGAAATTCGCAAGACCTGGACAGAATTGTTTGCCTCCTCTCCAACTCCATTCTTTGAATGTGAGTATCTTGGAAAGCGTCCACTCCCACCCGACCCGACCCGGCCCCGGGCGCCTGCCAGAGCCGTACCTGCCATCGCCTTGGGCGAGACCAGTGGTCACGCTCCTTCTCCGTGTCGCCCCTTGAGGGCGGCTCAGAGCGGTCCCTTACCTCCTCAGATCGCAGGATAAATATGCCGGTGAGAGTTTTTCATATGATGTGTGTTCGTGCATAACATACATATGTTGCTGTATGCATGCATTTGTTGCTTGCGTAGGTGTTCTGCTTTCGGTGCACAGAAGCACCAAACAAAAAGTCGCTGTCGTTTGTTTGCTTTCATGTCTCTTCAAGGATAAGTTGGTGCGTGATCTGGTTGTCTGCATAATCCCTCACAACGCGGGGTAAGTGGGAGACGGATGCTTGGCACGGCCTAATTGAGATATGATGTCGAAGACATCTTCAGTTACACATGCAGCACTGCTTGGAGTGTGTTTTCTTGATGCACGCTTTTGGGACACTGAGTTCAAAGCAATCTTGCCATGACTAGGGGGCAAAGTAAATAAGGTGACGCACAAGGCATGGCTAATATGATGTCTTCTTGTTCGCGCCCACGTAGTACGTATTTCCTTGACACAAAACAGCTCAACCAGACCCAATCGGCCAAGCGGAGCTTCATTCTGAGAAACCTCACCGATGTGAGAGACCCACCATTTGCCCATTCGAGAGGGTGGTGGGCAACGTTTCTGCAACACAAAAAGCAAAAGCAAACCTGCCACAAAGCAACAAAGGCAAATGGAACGCGTCCTGTTTAGAACCACTCCCAAACCGGGGTCGCTGCTATCTCCTGCCACCGACGACGGAGAACGGAAAACAGCGAAACCCTGGCAGACCACCAGCGCCGTAAGCCATTTTTTTCTCCTTGAAGAACTGCTCCCGGTTGATCTTCCGAGTCTTTGCCACCTGTTGGACTTCCTCCTCGCCCTCGTCATCCCCTCCTGACAAGGAGTCCCTCTAGCTCGACTCGGCCCCAAAGGCTTGCGAAACCCCCAACTCCCCAGAACTCGAGGGAGGCATGGCACCGCATATTTCGGTCCACTCCAAAAATGCACGGGCAAAAGGCGGCGTCCCTCCATGAAGCATCCAACCCAAAACTGAGCTGCAGCTGGAATGAATCCAAATGCAGTAACCCGTCACACGGATTCTCTTGCTGTGGTCACCGCACTCCCTCTAGATACATGGACGTTGACCATGCAAGGGCCCTATGCTAAGAATGCCACCAGTTCATAAATATCAAAAAAAAAAAACAAAAAGCCACCAGAAAACCAAAAAACCAAAATATGATGAGAGAGCAGAAAAAACAGAAAACAAAAATAAAAATAAAAAAAAAAAAAAAAAAAAAAAAAAAAAAAAACACCCACACACACACACACACACACCCGCGATCGGTTGCTGAAGCCAGCGACTGGGGCGTCAACCTTGAAGCCTGAAGTCATGCTACAGGTGTCCCACCTACATGTACTCTTTTATTATCCACCCAAACAAGATTTGGGCCATCCCGGGGCACAAAATAGTCAAGCAAGCCTTTGGGTGGGTGTTTTTTGTTTCTTCATTTTTTCGGCCCACTTGCCATCAGCGAGCGACTCCGCCTTCACCGTCTTCGCCTTCGGGTTTCTCATCTCCGTTCTCCTCAGCTCCGGCTAGCTGACCACACTCTTTGCTACAGCATCATTAAGGTGGCGCCGTGTTTGTTTTTCTTCAGGACTTGGTGTCCTCGCTTTGTGCTCCCGTTTCAACACCGGCAGAGGAACATTCGAGACCTTGGTCGAAACTTGGCGTTACGGGGCGCCGCCTGCTCTGCCAACCCAAGAGTGACAGGGTGTATTCGTGACAGATTCCGTCACACTGCTACTTTGTGGCTGCATGTTGCTCGTCCTCCTCCTCACCTTTGTCACCATCCTCCTCCTTCTCCTCCTTCTTCTTCCCGCCAAAGCCCCCGAGCATGGCTCCATCAGCCTCAGAACGGGAAGGCAGGAAGCGGACCTCATTAGGATCACTCGTGACTCTTCAGAAACCCACATTTTGCCGCCATGGCCAAAACGATGCAGAATGCAGACCAGCGGCTAGGCCAACAACGGCCTAGATGACAAGGGTCAGGCCATTGGGAAAAGCTACGGAAACCTCCTTAGCCTGTGATCCGATCGGGTCTTGAAAGCCTCCTCTCTTCAGTCAATGCTTGCTTTGGCACTAGTTTATTCAAATGAAGTCTCAAGTAGGAAGAGGTGTATGTTCGAATCACCTTCACTTGACCCACGTGGCTGATAGCGCCGCCACCCCCCAAGGGCAGTTAGTTAGGAGAGGCCATGCGCAACTTTTTTCGGACTCAAAAGTCTAGGGTCCACCCTAGGATTTTTTGCATTTTTTGAATAAGCGCCTCAAAACAGCCATTTTAAAACATTTTTTGAAACAGTCTAAACACATTTTGATAAATATATTTTTAGTACTGCATACCAAAACAAAAATTGAATTATTTTTTGAAAAATTCAATACACCTAAACATTGTCATTTTCAAAAACATATATTTTCCAAAATATTTTAGAAAATATATTTTTTTCAAAAGAGATAAATATATATAGCATATTAAGAAGAATTATTCAATAAGAAACAACATTTTCAATAATTCAATGAGAAGACAAATAATTAATCATTTTTCGAAATTTTGATATTCCGGAGTTGCGCATGGCCCACCTTGTAGGATTTTATCTTCAATATATAAAACGCTATACTTACATTATAATTATAACATATAAGGGTATAAATGTTATAATCATAGTATGGTTTTATTATTCAGGTTCATCAATAATTAGTATAAACCTTATGTGTTTTACTCCTACAATATTCATTGTATTCCTTTCATTATCAATATTTCTACATATTGTTGCAACTGCGTATTCCATTACATCAGATATATTATCTTGGTCTATAGAACCCATTAAGTGTCTACCACTATGAAAATCAAAACCATAACTGCTATATTCATCATCCTCAAAATAATTAAAATGATGAAACCTTACACGTAAAATTATATCAACTATTATTATTGCTTTATAACTTTCATATCCTACATACTTATCTAGTAAGCTATCTATTTCATCCCCTTCTTTCATAACTATATCTTCAATACTTTCAATGCTTAATGGAACCTTCCTAGAAACATAATATTGACATATTTGTCTCTTTACTTTATCACCATCTAAATTATTACAGTGCTTTGTTTCCCTTTCTATGTCAGTTTTGTCAATTTTATATCTTCTTTGTATTCTCTTCAATGTTTCATTATGATTATGCTTTATTTTCATATATTCTGGCTTGCCATATTTATAGGACATAATATTATTAATAACTTCAACTGGTAGTTTTTGAAACTCCATTTCTATTATAATATATATAGTGTTTATTTCTTTAAATACTTTTTTACAAGAAATAAAATTAAATATTGGAATATACTTATAACATATAATATTTTACATGTTATAATCATAGCATGGTTATAATCAAAATCATTCCCCGATTCTATCAAAATCATTCCCCGATTCTATCAAAATCATTCCCCGATTCTATCAAAATCATTCCCTGATTTCTGTCAAACTCATCACAGTTTCCAATATCAAACTACTAGGTATTTTATATAGGTCTTGTTGCTAAATAATTCTAATAAATTCATATTATTAGAAATATCTAGATTTTAATTTCCAAACATTACATATTTATCATCATCGCCCTTAATTAGTTTATAATATTCTAATGTTTGTTCTTTTGGACTTTTGATTTGTCCCTTATTTAACATATCGCAGTATTTTTTACGCTTGGTATCATAATCACCGCTAGGTCTGCCTATCCCTGTCTTTTCAAAAATCTTATTCATCTTCTCCTTCTCTTCGTTGCTTTGTTGTTCGCGTTCAACTGGTTTCATTTTGTCATCAATGGATTTAATCATATCATTTAAGTTTTTGATATTTTTACCAATTAATGTTATCTTCTTCATTAAATCATTAATAGTATAATTCTCATTTTCAGACATTACTATATATTTATTTAGATAATTATTTATTTAATTATATATTTATAAAGTGCATTTATGTTAAATCTACTCTTTAAATACTAACTTATGTCCCTGTTAAAACTAACATTAATCAAATTTTCGTTAGTTTCAATAACCATATCGCCATCTGTTCTTTTCTGAATATTAAAATCTTTATCTGTTTTTTTATAAGAAAACATACATGGGACACAAATAACTTTAACTCCGCCTTTCTTATCTACTGTCAATTCATTTTTAAAATTCATTATGTGATTACATTTATCACATTTTATAGTCTTACTTTCACCCATTGATTTAACACTTTCTGCTGTTTCTTTCCGTGCTTCAATATCTGGTGTTGGTCTTTCTTTGCCTTTACTCTTTTTCTTTTTTCCCATTTATATTAATATTTACATTTTTATTTTTGAGATATTGAATTCCTAACTTAATTATTTCTAATGAATAATAACAACATTTTGTTATTTTATTGTCAGTAATTATTACTTGTTCTATATTCTCCATTTCATCTATTATATTAATATAATCTGTATAACTCCTTTTCATATTAAATAATAAGATAATTTTTTTTTCATTTCTGTCTTTCTTTTCTTGTAAAGTTTTTTCATTGTATCGTCTTTATTCCATATATATTCTACAAATTTCTGATGATATTTTGAATTTAGATGTTTAAATAAATATTTGTCATCATAAGTTTTACAACAATTGCAATGGATAACAGTCATATAATAATAAGATAAAATAATTATTTAAATTATTTAATCTTATTATTTTCATGCATAATAGAATATTGGTGGGGCACAGCACTTGGGGTTTTCATTGCACACGCGAGAGAGATACAAACTAATTAGCTTCAATGCTTATTGATTGTAGCAATGGAAATCCTGTTCCATTTTTATGATATTCGCCACCAGCATATCATAAAAATGATGTTCCATTTAATATTAATTACAAGTTAATTTTTAAATATAATTTTCTATATATCTTTAATATCAACTATGACAGATGTTCCAATAATAAAACCAATAAACATAACTGAATATGAATTCAAACAATCTAAATATGAGCACGTGCCCAAATTACCATTTAGAAGTATTATAGTCGCGAGTTCAACGGGCGGGAAGACTGTCCTTATTCAAAATTTAATATTGAATGTTTATAGAAATTCATTCGCAAGAATATTTATATTTTCACCCAGTGTCCATAACGACCCTACATTTACAGAAGTTAAAAAATATATCAGGGATGAATTGCACGTGGATGATGAAAAAGAACAAATTTATTTTGATAATTATAATCCAGCGGATTTAGAAAATGTAATTGAAAGACAGAAGAAAATAATTAATTATATGAAATCTAAAAAGATAAAGAAACTGCATTCAATATTAATCGTTATAGATGACCACGCAGACGACCCTAAATTTGTTAGATATAGTAAATTATTACACGGACTTTTTACAAGAGGCAGGCACGATGCAGTAAGTGTAATTTGTTCAACACAAAAATATAATGTTTTAGCGCCTATCATTCGTTTAAATGCCAGTTCATTATATATTTTTAGGTTGAAAAATGCCAGTGAATTAATGAGTTTTATTGAAGAAAATAGCGCCATTGTTGATAAACAGCAATTATTAGATATGTATCATCAAGCCGTTAATTTTGCTCCATATTCTTTTTTCTACGTGAATATGAATGCTAAAGACATTAACAAAATGTTTCATATCAGATTTGAACAGGCGTTTCAAATTACGAATGATGAATAAAGATATTCTAATTTAATATAATATAATAATATGTCAATGAAACTATGTAGATGTGGTGGATTTTATCGTAGAGGTAATTATAATTTTCATACTAATTCTTGGATACATAAACTTTATAAGGCATTGAAGAGGAGGGCAACGGACGAGGAATTATTAAGATTTCAAAATAATTTTGTTGATGAAGACGCTTCGCCAGAGGCTCGCGAGCTACGCGACGATTTAATAGATGAAACAAATAGCACTGTTTCAACATCAACGCCAAAAAGTGAAAGAAGTTGTATAAGCAATTAATAATATTAATTATGTTTTAATATTATTAATTCAAAATAATGAATAGCTACAAAGGTTGAGAGCAGGTAATTTATAATATATTTTATCCTTTTTACATTCATTAACTTTTTCTAATTTATGGATTATTGCTTTCAATGAATTTATTTGTAGAATATCAATTCTTGACATTTCACTTATCGTATTTACATCTATATCTTTTATTACTTTAATAGCCTCTTCATCATCAATTTCTACTGGTTTTGATTTACTTGAACCCATTATATATAATATTATTTAGATAATAATTTTTCAAAATTGAAATGTTGGTTTTCTTCTTCTTCATCTTCGTCTTCAGTTGGTGCTGGTATTTCTGTTGGACTTTCAGATGAAGAACTATGAACAGTAATAGGTGGAGAACTATGAACACTAATAGCTTCATTTGATGAATTGCTACCGCTACTTTGTGCATTTCCTGCTGTTATTTGATTAACTAAATCTGCGATATTTATTGTTGTTGCAATTGCGCTATGTGATAAGTTTAATATTATATCTGCTACTGTAGCGCCGTTGTGTAGCATTATTTCTATCATTTTTGTCAGTTTGAATCTTTTTTCTTCGTCGCTGTCATCCTCATCTGGTGGTTTCTTTGGCGGTGGTTCTGGCGGTTTGTTGTTGTCAAGCATTTCAGTAAAGGCTGACACCATTGCGTCGCGTTGGTTTTTCAGTGTTTGTGTTGCCTGTGTTCTTGTTGGTTCATTTCTTTTGTATGTGTTGTGCCAAAAGTTTTTAAGCATTATTTTAAACATATTGTCTTGGTTTTCCTTTACCTTAAACGCTTCAAATGTCACATTTAATGGTTGGTCTGTATCATTGTATAACTTGTCGTCAGTCTCTCTGGTTTCTGTGGCGATTGTATCTGTGTTGGTTGCAATGTCAATAAATTCTCTCGGTATGCCTTTTTTCATCAATTTCGGTGGTTGTATTGTTGTTGAAGTGTTTGGTTTCATTAGGTTATGTATTGTAAAACTGTCGTCATCATATTTATCATTGAA